AGCCATGTCGCCAATTGTTTCCGGCCATTGGTTTTTACTGTCCCGAGGACCCCAGCCTGGAAGTCTACACCTTCCTACGTGGCTTAGACTCACTGTTGTAGATTTCATTGACTGGTGCTATGCTTTCCTTTGACCGCCGCTAGCTTTTTTCCAGCCTGACCCTATATCGGCTAACATTGCCCATTGTCGAGGAAGGCGATGACTAGGCATACATAACACATGTCCTAACCATCTCAGTCTTTATAGCTTCACGACATCGTCGATTGATTTCCCCTAATTAACTAGAACTCGACGCCTAACCTCAATGTTGCTCACCTTATTATGCCACTTTACACGGGAAATAGAGCGCAGGCACCTATGATCAAACACAGCTAGTCTTTTCATGTCTTCCACTCTCAGTGGCCAGCCACAAAGAAGGACGGAGAGGACTGATGAGCAGTACACCCGCCCTTTGGTTGGTAGTCGAACATCTCGTCTACGCCAGAGTCGGCGTAAACTGGCAAATGCGAAACGAGCCCCCTATGTTTGTGCTGATATTTCGTCAGAGATCAACCCGTAAGCACTGGCTGATGGTACTTCCCGAGTAAGTGAAGCGGCCAACGTGCTCTACCACTTCACTTCCTATTTTTAAACTAGGCGTCACTGTAGTCCAGTCAGTCCTGTAACATCATCTTGCATTTGGCGGGAGCGAATCGCATGCCAAACCTTAGTAGATTGCAGCTCAAGGTGTTTAGAAGACTCTGCATTTTGTCAGCGTCCTCGCCTAGAAGGACTATATCATCTGCATATTCTAAGTCAACGGGATTATTCCTTGGTAGCAAGTCAATCCCTGAGTCGCTGAAGTCACTTAGGGTTAAGTCCATTAGTACATCTATGATAAAGTTGAATAGAAGAGGGGATGATGGGCATCCTTGACGGACACCACTGGTCGTCACCAGTTCAGATGACAACTCTAATGACTGATGCGTTTTAGAAATAAGTGATGGGTTCTGGTAGGGATAGTCGTTGAGATAAAACCTTATTTAGCAAGCGTTTGAAGGTTACATTAGAGTGACAGGTCCTATTTCTAAGGGCAAACCATTCCTGTATGTTCCGTAATAAGTCTTTTTATGCATCCATGCTACTAGTTCATTTATAGTTTTTAGATTGCTAAGGGTGTTGAAGTGCGTCTTTAAGGTGCTGTAGTAGATTAGTAGCTGATTCGCTCTAGGAGCAAATAGTTTATTTATATAATCAGTAGAGTGAACAGTCAGAACAGTCTGCTATAAAGTCTGTTTGTGTTACACATAAAGAGATATAGAAATATTGTCTTCGCATTAACAAAAGACCCAGACATCAGATGAATGAAATACAGGTACCTGGGAAAAATAAAGCTTGAAGTCAATTCTCCTATATAACTTTGTTGTGAACAGCACCCTTGGCTTAAAGTTTATTGGTGTATTATGTTGAGATCAGTGATATATTTATTCCATTTTTCAGCAGTCTTATCGTAGTTTTATGTCAGGAAAGAAATTTGATAGTGGAGGCGAAAACTAGATAAGGTCATGTTAAGTTGTTTTACTGCATCAAATGGTGCCAAAGTCTATTCCGGAATTCTCCATTTGCGCCATTTGTGTCTGCATGGTGAACTGTACTCGTAAGTTGAGTGAAATGTTGAAGTCTTTTTGAAAACCAGTTGCTTCTTCATTTCGGATCATGAATACTCACTTACAGCATGTTCGCCAGCGTCTTCAAATGGTAGAGTTGGACCGTTCATGGAATTTGATTGATTATGAGACAAAAGGTTTGGAATTAATCTTCATTTCAGTTTAGATGCAGGGTGAAACAGTCTGCATAGAGAGCGTTTGAAGCTTGTAACCGAAGAGCAAGTTCTGAAATCTAGGGGCAGGCTATTCCATACTTTAGAATACATGACTGTGAAGAAGTTTTCACGGAGTGTTGACTTAAAATAATGAGTTTTCACTGTGCAGGTTTGGTTACGCAGATCGTAACCAAACCTTCCTGTGCGAATTGTATGTCCCTGTTACCTGAGAATGACATTTTGTGAGGGACCTTAAAGAAGAATATTAGGTTTGTAATAAGTCGCCTTGTCCAAAGTGTGTCAAGTTTTATGATCGTGCACCGTGAGATGTAGTCTTTCTTACAATCGTAGCCAAGTAGTTTTGCGGTAAAATATCGTTGGATACTTTCCATTCTTAGCTTATCACGTGCGCGAGTGCTGCCTATAGTAAATGGACAGTATTCTAGTAGTGGTCTGACACATATTTTGTACAGAATTAGCTTGGCTTCATTGTCGTGGAATATTCTGAGTATGCATCCTAAGAGCATCGTCGACTTTCGAGTCTGTGATGCTGTAGTGACCCATTTTATTACTCATCTTTTTAGTATACTTTCACTGTGTAATTAGAATTTGATTTGTTTATCACTCTAAATATTGCGTGTTACAATTGGTACTTTTGTGCTCGCTCGACTTTTGAATTTTGACCACTGCGTTAATATACGTTTGTACTCCTTCTCAAGTGTCTTTTGGCTAACGCTGTGGATGTTGAGGAATCACACCGTTAAGACACAATGATACACGCCAGGAAGTGCTAGGATTAGGTGTAATCAAGTTTGATGAAAAAAGAGCATCACGACAAATTGGTGAGCCCGACATAGCTGATCGACGCCATCATTTCAAAGTACATATATAGTGGATTTATTCATCATTGCTGTCGTATTAACTTTGATAACTGCATCATATTTGGATTTATATATTATATATTATATATTCACGACATCTTTTTGAAAGTACTTCCGGTAAGGAGACCATTTTTTGACATTTTGAACATTTTTGAACTTACCTATATTCTGTTCTGCTGGCGCTGACTTTCTGTATTTTTGCTATCACCTATATATAATATTTTCTGCATTTTTGTTATATCATTTACTACTGATAACGACACTTCAAGTAGAAAGTCTGTAGCTGCCGTTACCATATCCATACCACCTTTTAAATCTAATGATCCTTATATGTGGTTCACTCGCCTAGAACACTGCTTCCTAGCCAACCACGTCACTTCCCAAACTAAAAAAGTTTGCTATGCAAGCCCCATCTTACCGGATGAAATAGCAGAGCAAGTACGGGAGACGCTCATAAATCCAGATCCAGAAACTCCGTACGATGTTTTAAAGCAGATAGTTATTAAGGTTGCTTCATTATCAGATCAGAAAGCTATTGCTGAGCAGTGTTAGTCTGGGTGATAGAACACCTTTCCAACTCAAAAGCCAAATATGTAACATTTCAGGAGATCGGAAGATAGATACCAGGTTTTTCTACCAATTGTGGCTAACGCAGTTACCCCACAACATTCAGCAAGTATTAGCATTTGGAGATAAAGGCATAGATATTGACAAGTTAGCAGAAATTTCTGACAGAATGTATGAACGGATGTCTCCACAAGTAACATCTGTAGTCGATAAATCGTCAGACGAACGCATAGAAGCCCTAGAACGTAAAATAGAGCAATTAATGACGATGAGGGTTAAAAGACAACCTAGTACATCATACAGAAGACAACGTAGTCGCTCACACAATGTACGCGAATATAGCTCACCACAGACTGTATGCTGGTATCATTGAAAATTTGGTGTACGCGCTAAACGATGCACACAACCATGTGCTTTCCAGCAGCCAATGGCGTCGGGAAACGAAAAAGCCAGTGGTTGGTGACGACTGCGGCTGCCGGCCGACAACCTTCCCACAGTCGTCTCTTCAGGGTGATAGATAAAATAACGGGGGCACAATTCCTGGTAGATACCGGTGCAGAAGTTAGTGTAGTTCCCCCAACACCCAGTGAACGTTTACAGCCGAATCCCGCATTAGTAATTAAGGCTGCGAACATTTCTATCATAAAAACTTTTGAAGCTCGAAGACAAAAACTTGATTTTGGTTGCAGTACACCATTTGAGTGGGAGTTCGTCACTGCAGATATAGCCTTTCCCATTATTGGGATGGATTTTCTTCAGCACTACGAATTGCTAGTCGACTCAAGTCACCAAAGATTGATAAGTAGAAATCAAGGACTATCGATTTCAGGCATCTGCACAGAACTTTCGCCCGGTACGTTCGAATCAGGTGCCGCTTTTGCACGAGCAGCCTGTAGACAGACGTAGGTCATTTGATTAGCCGATTGATATTGGCGTTATTTATTAGAAAAACGTCAGGGTTAGGCCATTTTTCGTTGTTTTTCACACTTCGTTACTTATATTCCCGCTAAAAGTTGATGAAATGCGGCCTATTTAACAGGAAGAGCATATGGTGGTGTCCTTATCCGGATGTAGGTTACAGGCAGTTTACAGTTTAATGAAAAAACGTACTTTTCCGTTCAGAAAATGTCGAAATACTTGAAGACACATGTTATAACGACTTTTTGTGATTTTTCTTTGTAGTTTAATGGATTACACATGGACATGATGAAGTGAGATGGGTTGTTTTGGTAATTATTTAATTTACTTTTTTGTGTACTTTGCCAAAATGCTGACAAGGCTCCTCCACATGTATTTCTTTAAGAAAAATCTGCAGAAATACTTAAAAATTATATATGCATAGTATTTCCTTATTTGATGGCATGAACTTGATGTTAGCAGGTAGATGCAATATAATAATAATAATGTATATTCTCATATTAACATATAAATTTACATGAAAATGCATGCCATTTTTACAGGCACGATCAAGTATGATATAATATCAAATCGTAGATTGTCTACAAGTTATTAATGTTTCGACAGTTAAACATTTGATATATATATAAATACACATTGTCTGAACTAGGCTGTATAGTTATTGAATTGTACAATTGTCCTCCAGGTTGAGCGCGAAAATGGACTTCGTTTCGTTTTCATCCCGTGGTTGTCGGCATACGATAACCAACCAAAATTGAGGTAAGTACAACGTTTACAAGGGATTGAATGCTGTTTTAGAAAAGTAAAGTGCTGAGGTGAATCAATAAAGTGTAATGAAATGGGTAAGTGCAAGTATCACTAATAAATGCATTAATAAAGGAAACTCCCTAGGCTGACAACGTTCATTTGCAATGTATAATGCTACACGTGTATCTCGTACTATCATGATGTCCACTTTTGGTTTTAATACATTTTTTCCTTATGTCGGTTTTTTTATATTCTATGCCTTTTTGTGCATTTGGTGCACAACCGTACCCTACAAAGAATAGGAATAGAATAAGTCGAATCAAATTCATTATCGACTTTGTATTATTGAAAAATGTTGATTGACGTAATTATGTACAATTCAACTAATTATTTTGTCATTTTAAACACATTTAACGGTTAATTATTGTGTTTACACTGGTAAAAATGTCGACATCTGTATAATTCTTATGTTCTTTTTCAGATAATATCTACTTTCGGGAATTTCATGGATTTGGGTGATAAAGAAAAAGATGCCTGCACTGTTGTCAATTTTGTATTACATGTTAATTCATTAATAAATGTATTCGTCGTTATTCGTTTGCTTATTCTACTTGATAAGACCGAATATTAGCCCTTGCGTAATTTGTGAGGTGTAGAGTATATGAGGCTATCTTTGCAATACTAAGTAGGAGCAGATATTCGGAGAAGCCTATCGGTAAAAGATTATGTTGCAGTCAAATAAAGTAAATATGTCTAAATTTTAGAGGGGGTATTGCGATTATAAAGTGTTTCGAGTTATCTATCTTGTGAGCAGAATACGTATACTGATTCGCGATTCATGGTCACAAAGTGAAAATAAATCTACCTGAGATAGTTTGCTTGTGATTTCTGCATGTCGCAGTGTACCATAAGGAGAGACTATACCTATGCTGTTAGATGTATAACTCGGTGCAACTACGGTTATCGTATTAATTAAAAACAGAATGCCTAGGGTTCTCAGCCACGGGACACGATACGTTGCTATCTACTCATATAATCACGTAAAGAAAAGTTTTCCAGACGGCGCATTCACTCCTAACAGTTCACCCTCAACTCCTAACTTAGCACGTGTTACTTATGTTACCGGAACACAATCGCATTACAACAGAAGGAATACAGATTCATTGAAAAATTCAATTGGTGGATGGTGGCTAGCAGCAGAATCCAGGATGCGCATTTCGTCCTATTTGGGACTCGTCAGTTGGATGTACCTGCATTTCTCAGTGAGTGATGATGTTCCCACCGAGGCTCGAACCCAGTACCCATAGTTTCAAACGCCAAAGCGTCATCCACTAGACCACTTGGGCCACTAGGGCCACCTCTTGTGTAACGGGTCATATTAATTATTGAATTGAATTTTTGATTTTCCCGTCGATTGATTGGACCGAAGTGCTCGGTCTCAGGTTGACATGTCGGCTTCTTGTGCAAACGCTTCGACGATGTCCGGGCATTTAATTAGTATACAATTGGTGGATGGTGGCTAGCAGTGGAATCCAACCTGAAACCGAGCATTTCGGTCCAATCAATCGGCAGGAAAATCAAAAATTCGATTCAATAATCATTGAAAAATTGTTTATTAAACGAAAATCAGATTAAAAATGTACAGATAATTCAGATGAATTGTCCTCTTTTACCTCCATTAAGTTCTATCTGCGTACACGTGTACGCGTATGTTTTTCCATAAGTCTGAAAAGGTTTAAGAAAAGCATAATTTACTTGGGTATTACATGTATGATCTGAACAAAACATTTCTTGAGAAGCATTTACAAGTGATCACTTTACAAACAATATATATATATATATATATATATATAAGTAACCAAATAGTTTTCACTTAACTTAAGGGACTTCGTGATTTATCGTTGGTCGATGTCTAGTAGGTACATCAAAGCATCATGAAATGATAAAATTAATTAACGACAAGTTATGCAGCAGTTTCCAAAGCTTAAACAAATATTTTAGCAAAAATGACAACCACTTTATGACAAATAATAGGTATAGACAGCAATAATAATAATGTTCATGATCATAGTGACTATAAAAACAATAATAGGTATTATTATCGTGACGAATTCATCATTAACTTAGATAGAAAACTAGTAATACTGCAATCATATCAAATAAGAAAGCATCTGTCAATGTAGTTGAATATTGAACGATCAATTAACGGTTGTTTGCTCAAAACCAACTTCCCCAATTTTCGCGGAGGCATCAATACGACAGTCATCGTCTCATCGGTCGCTGTTCAGAAAGAAGTCAGCAGTAAACCGTCAGAAGTAATATTGTGATTTATTATTGTAATATTTGTTCACAGACCTTAGTTGTAAAATTGTTTATATGTTGGTGTTACAATAAAGAATTCTCGAGTGGCCAATCAGTGTTTTGGTTTTCGCGTCCGTTATTACTAAGCGTTTCTGAGAAACTTCAAGGAACAGCGTGAGCCCGAGCGTAGCAAGAGCTGGGCATTAACGGTTTAGGAGACGTGACTGACAGTTTCTGACGATAGAAACAGATTCTGGCGGATTCAGACAGTTGGTGAAAGTTTGAATAGTCGCCGTTCATTTCTCCTGGTGCCGGTCAAGTCCTCTTTGAACAAGCAATATCTGGAACTTTTTCGCAATTGGGTCAAGTTCAACAATGCCTGGGTCAAAGAAGGGACAGAGCGTCTCGGATGCAAACAGGAAAGTAAGTCATGGTGACTTGTCTGTTAATTGTAACGATGTGTCTGATGTTAAGCACGACATGGTTGATGTTACTGTTTCGCCGTTCAGGGATAATAGGAACATCAAACTCCCTAAGTTTTAACCTCGGTGTTTCGATGGAAACCCGGCTGATTATTTACAATTTGTGAAGGAGTTTGAGATCATGTTGAGTAGTTTTCTATTAAGTGATGAATTGAAATTGATGTATTTGATGGGGTATTGCACTGGAGATGCTTCAAGAGCTTTACAGTGCTGTAAGATCATGCCCCCTAATGAGGGATACGCTGAGGCTATGAGCATATTACGTCAAAGGTTTGGAAGACCTTCAATGATTGTAAGGAACGTTGATATGTATCCACATATATATATTTATGTGTGTGTGTATGTTGGTCTCTCTTTCTGTTTGCTCGCTTAGTCTGTGACCTTTTCACTTGTGTGAACTTGTCTCCTTTAATAATGTATATTCTCCTTATATTATATTATATATAATATGAGTGTTTGTTGACAGTCCGTTGCTTGGTGACATATATCCATATATGTTTGTTGGCATGTCTGCTATATTCGCTATGTATATTTGGATCGACACTCCATTATAATTAGCCATTCATGTTAAGACTGTCTAATGATTTTTCCCACGCTTTGTCTGGAACATTTATATATATTCGCATTCACAATTTGTGTGAACTACTTTACAACTACTTTACTTACTTACCACTTTGGTGTGAGACCATTTATTTTCGTCTCCTTGTGTTGGACAATAGAAGTATCATCGCAAACCTAGTGGTCTTCTGATTTCTGCCTTCTCGCGTCAGGACTATTAGTTTCTCGGCCAGTCCATAACAATAATTTAGCGACGAGTACATAACAATTTGGCGACGGGGAAAACTAGTAACATAACAATTTGGCGACGGGAAAACTAGTACATAACAAACGTATACGAAGCTGTCAAAGGTAATGGCAGTCAACTTCAAGATGACTCCAAGGCACTTACTGAGTTTTTAGATAATCTTATGACTTATAAGATTACCTTGATTTCTATGAATTGCATGAGTGACCTCAACTCGAGCTCAGTCCTAGATGTAATAGCAAGACGCCCACCTACTCGACTGCAAAGGAAGTGGGTGAAGATAAGCTCCCGTATGGAGGATGAGGGTATCGAGCCAAAGTTTGATGATATCCTGAAACTGGTAAATACTAGTGTCAATCAATCTATGAGCAAGTTCGCCAGTCTATTACATCTCACCCCTAGAATAGAGCAGTCTGAGATCAAAATGCAATCATTGATGACGAAAGGGTCTCAGAGGAGCGGATATCCAGAAGGCTCTATGATGTCTAGTAATGCATATAGACCCAGTGAGTGTAACAGGTTCCGTAGTACATCCTCAACAGATAAGTTGCAAGCTGCAAGACAAACACGGTTGTTTTACACGTTTGCAAGAGGTGCATACAAAGGTGAGCTGTGAACCAGTGAGCAAGTTCAGTGATAAGCTAAATGTAAACTCCGGGCCTGACTCCGAATTGTGTGACGATAACGGTGCGGTGAAGAAGTCTGTAGTTGCAACTGGTAAGCCATTGTTGAATAGAGTGTCACAGAATAGAGTTACTGCTTCAGAGTGCAGTTCTGACTCCACAAGTTTACAAGGTATTACTAGTGTCAGAGTGAAGGTATAAAATCTTTAGGGATTTGTGAGGAAGAACACAAATCATCCACTACTGTTATTAAAGAGTTTGAAATTGATGAAGTCGACCAGATAGATGATGGTAAATTGAATATTCGTGATAATGATCATGATACTTCACATTTGTCTTTGGTTGATCATGATGAGATGAGGGATATGCCTACTACTGCTAAGTTAAATAAAGGTTCTGTACAACTACAACGTGAAGTGGAAATAAATGCAGGTGCAGTTGCAGAAGGCATGCATACTTGTGAGACCGTCAGTGTAAGTGATCAGCATGTAGCCCACCTATCATCAGATGCTAGTGCTAAACCTGAGCTGATAGTAAATGACAGCAGTGGTGGTGGTGGTCTTGCATGTAGACAAATTTCTGAAAGTCGAGCAACGACGGCTTCTGATCCACTGCTAAGTTCATCAACTGGTATCAATCAGTTGTCGCTGGTGTTGTCATCCACAATGAGGAGGACGCCCTTCAACTTCAGTATCTTGCGAAATATCTATGATAGTATTGGTGCGTATGAAAAGACGAAAGATATTGGTCAGTTTAGTGAGGATAAGCCAAGTGTAAAGGAGAGAGTTATTGTTAAATTGACTTGCACGAATAAAGGCATTTCTAGTTTCAAGTTACTATTTGAATGTTATTATCTTTGGTGTAAATCACTGTGTTTCTACACTTGGTTGATGAGGTATGTCGTGTGTTTGTTGGTCATCTATATTCTACGATACAATGACATGGACATGTTGCCGTTCAGATTTGAGGATATGGCTGATAGGAGGAGGTCAGCAAATGAACTCTTCGACGATTTTCCGACCAAGAGCGTCAACCTGAGAAGGGTTGTAGGCGTACTCGTGTAAGTCCTCCAATTCTTCAAGGGAATTCCATCAAGATATGATCCTCGAGTTTGTGTGTACTGTGTGTATATATGTGTGGTGCGTCATATTAATTGGTGTTTTTTGGATTCATTGTGTTTAATTGTTGTTTTCGTTCCTTTTTGTTTTTGCATAATTTTGTTAAAATTTTCGTCGTGATTACTTCTGGAGTTGTTTCGAGTCTTCTACATCCGTGAATGAATTGATTGATGTTAGAGACAGCAAATGGGTCGTATACGCCCGGGAGGCTATTGTTGAGAATGAAATGCCTA